CCTCTCCAATGTACCCCAATATGTTTTTCCCAATTAAAAAAATACCTGGGGTTGTTTTGTTTTGTTTTGTTTCTAGCTTGGTGGTTTCCTCTTTATTGATGTGTCTCCTACCTTACCCTCTCCACAATTTCAGTCCCTTCCATATACCCCCAAAGAGAAGGTAAAGAAAAAGGTTGTTGGGGTTTGGACCCCTGTGTACTTAGAAAGGGAACAGAAACCAAAACAATCACTGGATGTGAGTGAGACTGACAACCAAGAAGTCTGAAGCAGAGCAGGGAAGGTGATAGAGAAAGGTGAAGGAATGGAAAGGAGGTACTATGGGCCATTCTCACCATCACCCCTCGAGAAAAACCCTCAAACATGAAGTAGTGCAGGTCTTGAATAAGGGAAATTGTTGAGCTTGAAGGGGGAGGCCAAAAAAGGGGGGGGCACCTTTGTCTATGTAGAATGGGAGGCCCCCCACACTTCAAGGGCCACATCTTCACAGACTGTAGACACTTTCATCACTGTAGGCAATGTATAGAAAGAAGTCTTCTTCGTGGTGTTCCTGGTACAGCTGATCCATTGTGGCACTGGTGGGTGGAATGACACTGTTGACAAAGAAAAATAAGATATCTTCAGCTTGGAGATGAATTCACTTCCTCATCAATAAGTAGAACTGACCAACTGTGAGATCAGAAGGCACCAGGTACTTCTTTTTGTCCAGATCTCCTATCCGAGCTTTGGGAGTCTTCTCTACTATCACCGGAACCCGGTCCGGATATTTCTTTCTGATCTTCTGGCCCTAAGAGTGGCGCTTCTCGAACGGATGCTCCTTTTTATACACGAATTTCATCCTCCTGGGACCGGGCTGGACCAGGCAGGGCTGAGGGAAGCCAGAGGGGGGAGGGTGCGGGACCCAAATACCTGTTTTTAAAACATAAATTGTGACATTTGAATTGTGCTTCTTCCATCTTTCTATCCCTCAGTCAGATAAGGCCTAGAGACGCTTCTGGGGAAAACTATCATGATGGCCACCCAAGGAGAACCTCAAGTCCAGTTCAACCTCGTGTCAGTGGACAACGGTGGTACTGGGAAAATGACGTTCATGAAACATCATCTAACTGGTGAATGTGAGAAGTATGTAGTGACCTTGGAGGCGGAAGAACATTCCCTCATTTTCCACACCAACAGAAGACCAATTAAATTCAATGTATAGGATACAGCAGGCCAAGAGAAATTGGGGGGGCTGAGGGGTGTCTATTATATCCAAGCCCAGTGTGCCATTATAATATTTGCTGTAACAGTGAGAGTTATCTGCAAGAATGTTCCTAACTGGCAAAAGGATCTGGTTTGAAAACATCCTCATTGTGTTGTGGGCATCAAAGTGGCCATTAAGGACAGGACATTTAAGGTAAAATGCATCCTTTTCCAGCAAAAGAAGAATCCTTGGTACTATGAAATTTCTCCCAAAAGTAACTACAACTTCAAAATGTATTTCCTTCGGCTTGCTAATTAGAGACTCTAACTTGGAGTTCATTGGCATGCCTGCCCTTGCCCAACCAGAAGTTGTCAAGCCCCACTCTTGGCAGTACAATATGAGCATGATTTAAAGTTCGCACAGGCGACTACTCTCCCTGAGGAGGACGCTGATCTGTGAGAGAATGAAGCTGGACCCCAGCATCAGAAATCGAGTTTTATAGGCAACTGTCCTGTGATGTCAGTGGTGCCACATGTTTGCCACTTGTTTATCTAGCTAATCTTTGGGATACTGAAGGAGATGAATGTATGAGCTTCAAAGTTAGTGTGGCAGTTAAAAAAATCTGCATAATTTTAGAGCTGCATATTTAGATGTTTTGGAAAGCAGTTGTTTCCTTCTTGAGTTTCAAATATAAGACTTCTACAGTCACACCACAAATAAATACATAAAAGCACAAATGGTGACTTTACACACAGACCTCATCAGAAGAACTGCATAGAAATCAGACTGGATACATCTGTGGAAGGAATTGTTGGATAAGCTCAATATCAGCTGTCAAAACGAGGCCAAGTGCCAACTGTAGAACATACCATCAATTATTCATGTGCAAATTCAAATTGAGGCTGAAGAAAATTAAAACAAGTCCTGATAATCAATATGTGATTTTAAGTCTATTCCACTTGAATTTAAAAATCATTTTAAGAATAGGTTTGAAGCCATGAACAGTAATGACAGAAGACCAGATAAGTTGTGGGATGACATCAAGGATAACATCTATGAAGAGAGCAGAAGGTCACTACAAGGAAAGAGGAGAAAGAAAAAAATCAAACTGGATTTCAAAAGAACCTAAAAATTTCACTAGCACATCAGGAAGCAAAAACAAAGGGAAGAGGTGCTTAAGTAAAAGAGCTGAACAGAAAATGTCAAAGGGCAGCTTGAGATGGCAAAACAAAGTATTACAATGGAATGTACAGAGACCTGGAATTGGAGAATAAAAAGGGAAGAATTCAGTATTTCTCAAGCTGAAAGAACTAAAAAAATAAATTCAAGCTTTGAGTAACTTAGAGGAGTGATATGCAAAATCTTGAATGACCCAGGAAGAATCAAAAAATATGGAGGAATACACAGAATCACTGCACCAAAAAGAATTAGCCAACACTGAATTACTTCATAAAGTACCAAATAATCAAAAGGCAATCATAATTAAGGAAGATGTTCAAGATGCACTGAAGACATTGGCAAAAAAAGAAGACCCTGGGAATTGATGGGATCTCAAGTAACATGTTTCGATTAACAGATGCAGCCCTGGAAGTGCTAACCAGTCTATGCCAGGAAATTGAAAGCTGAGGGGAATAAGTCTCTCAGGCATTTTTGTTTTCTCAGTGGTTCCCTTATCCTTCTGCTCAAAGCTTGGGTGTTCTGCACAAGAAAGATCACAACTCCTTTTGGTTCTGAGTGAGAGAAGGGCAGTCAGAATGCAGACCTCTGGGATTAAAGGTCTGCCCTGGAGAAGGTCACACTCAAGTTCAACCAAATCCCAGGCTTCAACAAGCTGTGTGTCCAAAATGACCCCCAGAGGCTGGAGGTTAGGCCGAACGCCCATGACTTCTATGATATATGTTCTTTCTCTATTGGCAATGTGCCTACATGTGACTAAAAGTTTAAATACCGCTGTACCCCTAATAAAATTGAGTAGGCCCACTGATGCGCTCCCAGAGGGATTTTTTCCCTCATCACAGCCACCCTCATCAGCTTGTTGCTTTCTTCACCATGGCTTGGAAGACAGCAGCAGTGTTTTCCTTGCATGTGATATTATGCTATTGTTTGATATTTCCACATTCTGTTGGATCATTTCTCTTGGGAATGGGAGCAAGTATGAATCTCTTCCAGTAGATAGTTGTTCCTCAAATTTCCTGGCATAGATTGGTAGGACAATGTTCTTGACAACTATGTTCAGTCAAACTTGTTGTTTCAACTGGTCAATGAAAGTGAGAGTAGTTCAGACCATGTCCTGCTAGCAAAACTCAACAGGGAACGTGTGCCAGTTTCTCTCCTCCCTAGAGAATCTCTCAAGTTTCTTACCATTACTCTGAGACCAATAGTACATTAAGGTTAGGGAGAGAAAGATCTTAGGCTCCTAATCATGTGATGCTCCCCAGGACCCTTTGCAGATGCAAACTGGTACCTTCATTAGTTTGATGTCCTTTAAAATTGCCCTTTATTAAGTGTGAGTTAAGAAGGCTTAAATAACATGGATAACCTTCCTGATGGATTTTTTTAATATATTTTATACTCCAAAGTTGAAAATTATAATGCTACAAGAAAAGGCTGGAATATGTCAGAGATACTTTGATTCGAAAGGCTACACAAGAAAGCTATTAGTGTTAATAAATTTTGCAAATTTGCAGGCAAAAAGTTCAATCAATACACAGATACTAGTTGGGTTTATACATCATCAGCAAACAATACAAACAAGAAAAAAAGGAGAAAAAAACACTATATATGAAAATAATAGTATTACGGTTGTTGTGGGGTAGAAAGTAACATCTCCGATGCAGACACCAAGTGTATTATATTTCTTCACCACCAAGTATGGTTTGTAATGTGAGAAAAGGAAACTCCAGCCTCACTAGATAAACCACCTTTCTCCTATCTGTATAAATTAAGTATCTCTGTTTAGTGATAAATTTAAAAATAATTTTCTTTTTAATACAAGAGAAAATAAATATGAGCCATAGGACTTTGTAAGAGATAATAAAGGTGTAACCTACTCCGCAGAGCCATTCTGAATGTACCAGTGAATCTAAGAGTTGTGACAATAAAATACATGCATCAATGTTTTTAAGGCTGTTAAAAATGCTGATGAAAATCCCATTTTCCCTGTGATAATACTGCAGTGCCTTGTCTGTCCTGTTCCTCCACCTATTCTGTTTAGTTCAGAGGAAAGGAGAGATCCATGCCAACGTTTCTCAAATTGCTGGAATCATCCTTTAAGTGAAATGCCGCTCACATTTCAACAGGGAGTAGGATGAAAACTAAAAAAGAGCATTGTACATGATAAGAAATTATTTCATGAACTTTTTAATCCTTTGTTTATTTCTTTATGCTCATATGTGCCTGTGTATAGGTACTGGGTAATTTTACCCAATGTATTTTTTATTGTTGACCATAGTCATACAAGTTTGAATGTTTCAGAATCTTCCTTCCCTTGCCCTACACCACACACATGTTTCCAGTGAGTTTTTAGCAAGTTGTCTTAATGGGGTAAGACATGATCCCTCTCCAAAAGGACCACCGTGGTTCAGAATTCATCTTGGAAGCTGGCACTTAGGAGTTCTAGTGTAAAGATTACCTCTCTGGGAACGTGGCAAATCTGAAAGAATTTCTGATCTGAATATCAGCTAACTATGAAGAAAGGGAGAGAATGTGACCAGGAAGTTGCTGTGGTTAATAGCCTTCCCCCTCCCTCACTTGCTGAGAGTTATAAAGCCCACAGTTGAAGGCCAAAGCAACACCTATCATGGGTGGCTGTTCTCAGAAGATGTATCTTCTTTCTCTCCTCCTGCCAGTCTTTCTTCTATTACCCAGAGCTGAAGCTGGTGAGTTTTGGGGGTCCTTCTCTCTGTAATCTATAGAATCTACTCATAGACCAAAGAAGCATGGTTTTACTATAGCTGGGTCTTCTTTAAAGGCCCAAGACATTTAAGGTAATTGTGAATCTCAGAGTAGTCCGCACTGGGACATGCCCATCATCCATTCTCTGTAAAAATTATCATTTCCATAAATAAAGGATTCTACAATTACTGAGGGTAAGTGAGAAGACATTTGTCTCTCCCCAAGTGAGGTATTTATCTTAACCTTTTGAGCTTCAGGATTATGCATTATCTTGTGACTTGGTGGTTCTATGGCACCAGTCATGGTCTGTGGAGAAGTCAGGACAGAAACCTCTCTTGTTCATTGACACAGGAAGGGGGAGGATCTACTAAGAGAAAATGCCTGTCTGTTGTGTAATATAGCATCATTAGTTAATGCATGCTGGAAGAAAGAGGGAGAATTTATGTGGGCAAAGCAGGTACTGCAGAGGGACACTCCCCAGTGAGGATGCAATTCAGCAGAAGGCTCTGTCAACTTTAACTGAACTGGTACATTCCTGGAGACAGTATGTTGCCTGTATTCAAGTCTTGGGTTTTCTATTCCAGGGGAGATCATTGGAGGCAATGAATGCACGCCACACTCCCGCCCCTACATGGCCTACTTGGAAATTGTCACTCCCGAGGGTCACCTGATCAGCTGTGGAGGTTTCCTGATAAGACGGAACTTTGTTCTGACAGCTGCTCACTGTTCAGGAAGGTGAGAAGACAGGGTCTTGTTGATCTCCAAGTAGGAGAAATGGTGCAACAAAGAGTATCCCATGGGGTATTCTGAAGAAGGGCTCTTAGACCTGGATAAACTTTAAGGACAGAAAAGCATTAGACTTGAAGAAATTTGTCTTATATTTGAATAGATGCCATGAGCTTCAGTCACTATGGATGAAAGAGATACTTACCCCAAAGACCCCTTCCCTCTTCTAAAAGCCATACTCCTTCACCCTCACCACAACACAAGGACTAGCAGCCTACTCGTAGAGTTCCTTATTCCCTAGGTCATTTCCTCTAGATGCTTTTCAAGAGCCCTGATCTTTCGTTCTTAGCTACCAGACCTCTTACTTATGGGATACAGAGTATAAAGTTCACATGAGACCCTACCACTTCCCCCTCTCTTTAATATTCCCTGCACCCAAGGACTAGTCTTGATATAGAGTTCCTGCAAAATCTATTCCTAAGGAGAAGGTGAAATCAAGTTTCTCCTTGGAAGCAAAGATTTTGAAGCTACATCTCACATACTTTGGGCATGTGGCCAGGAGGGACAAATCCTTGGAGGAGGACATCATGCTTGGAAGGGTGGAGGGACAGCAGAGAAGAGAAAGACCCTGGATGAGATAGATTGACATGATAACTGGGGCAAGGGGGGTATGTGTGTTGGAATCAGTGAGACTGGCTCAGGCTCAGTGCAGGGTTCAGAGCTATTGTAAATAGGATTGCTATGAGTCACAGGCAACTCAGTGGCACATAAAAACAACAGGGAGCTCAAGTGGCCTAGTGGGTAAGGAGTTGGGCTACCAACCCAAAGGTTTTTGCTTGGAATCCACCAGCTACTACTCTATAGGAGAAAAATGGATTATATTGTATGGTTATTATATTATCAAATAATGCTATATGATTGGGAACCATAATCCTGTGTGATTTACAGCCTCTGAAAACCCCCTGGAGAGTAAGCTATGAGTCATTTCTGACTCTCTAGCTCTGTGTTTGATGGCTTTTTAAAAAAAGTATGTCCCAGCAGTTCCTCCATAACCGGTTCACAAAACCAAAGAAGCAAACTCACGGTCATTGAGTTGATTTTAACTCATAGCAACATTGCAGGTCAGAATAGCACTGCCCCATAATGCTACCAAGACTGAAGTCTTTATAGATGTTAACTGACACATTTTTTGTCTGGAGAGCAGCTGGTGGGTTTGGATCATCAGCATTTGGGTTCTGAGTTTAGAGCTCAACTACTGTGTCATCAGGACTCCAAGACCTGCTTGGGGTGGGGGGAACCCACATTGCATTGCAGCTAATTCCAATTCCTGGCAACCCCCCATCAAATTTCTAGAGCTGTAAATCTTTACAGGAAAAGTCTACCCATCTGCCTTGCATGGGACAGTTGGTGAATTTGAACCACTGACCTTTTGGTTAATAGACCAACTATGCCACCAAGACTCCTTTGTACTGTGACGTCAATACTTAGAGCAATCTTATGAACAACAGATCTGAACCCTGTCCTATCCTGTGCCATCCTTATCATCTCTGACACACTTCAGCCATTGCTGCCATCACTGTGTCTAATCTCCAGCAATTCCTGAAGGTCTGGGAAAACTGAACATCTCAAACACCAGAAAAGGATAGTTCCTCAAAATGGGTGCATATGGGGAGGAAACTCAAATCATCACTTTTCTCCTTGTCCTTTCTTCCTCACAACAGCTCTATAACAGCGATCCTTGGAGCACATAACATAAAAGAAAAGCAAGACACATGGCAGATGCACAAGGTCATAAAACAATTTCCTCATCCAAAATACAACGGCTTTACTGTTCAAAATGACATCATGTTACTAAAGGTGACAATGTCTTTTTTCCCCTTTTCCACTTCCTGCCCTCTTAGGCTTCTCCTTTAGGTCCCTATTGCCCTTAAATTTCCCCAACTTGTCTCTGATCCCCACCCCCTCCCAATTTTCAATTCACCCTTTTGGACCTTCTCTCTGGTGAGAAGCTACTTGCCCTGGTCCTCCCTGATTGCCTCCTTCTGCTCTGTGACTCATTTCCAACACTGATAGCCCACCTCCTATTCCCTTCACAGTTAAAGGACAAAGCCAACTTGACCCTGGCCGTGGGAACACTCCCCATCCCATCCCAGTCCAACTCTGACCCAGTGGGAAGAGTGTGCCGGGTGACAGGCTGGGGAAGAACAGGAGTGATGGAACCATCGTCAGATATTTTGCGGGAGGTGAAGCAGAGGCTCATGGATCCCCAGGCCTGCAAACGCTATCCAGATTTTGACCCCAAATCCCAGCTCTGTGTGGGCAACCCCAAGAAGATAAACTCTGCATACAAGGTAACACTCAAGCTCAGGTCCTTCCCCGAAAATCACTGATTGTTCTTGTTGTTGTTAGGTACTTTCAAGTCAAGTATGACTCATAACAACCCTATAAACAACAGATCTGAGGCCTGACCCACCCTGTGCCATCCTCACAATCTCTGACACACTCAGGCTTATCACTACAGTCACAATGTTAACCCATCTGGTTGACTGTCTTTTTCTCTTTCACCATTACTTCACCTTTCCAAGCACAATGACCCTCTCCAATGAATAGCTTCTCTTAACTCACATTTTTCTCTCTCTTCCTAACACACAACCACAGGGAGATTCAGGGGGCCCTCTTCTATGTGCTGGAGTGGCCCAAGGCATTGTTTCCTATGGACGAGGGGATGCCAAACCTCCCGCAGTCTTCACCCGAATCTCGTATTTCCGGTCTTGGATCAACAAAGTCCTGAAGGAGAATTAAACCTGGGAGCCTGTGAAGAATCTGAGAAGAAACTTAAACCCATGCAAAGTTCTCTGTGCTATTCTCTCTGGACTTGCCTCTGGTTCCCACTGAAGTCTTGCCACATCCCTGAGCCTCAGGCAACTTCCTCTGTGTTACGTTGTTGCTGTTACTGTGCCATCGAGTCAAGTATTCATAGCAACCCTAAGAGCTACAGATCCAACCCCTTTCCTATCCTGTGCCTTCCTCACAATCTCTGATCCCCTCAAGCCCATTGCTGCAGTGATTGTGTCAATCCCCCTGATTGAGGGTCTTCCTCTCCTTCGCTGTCCCACCACCTTCCCAAGCATGATGTCGTCACCCTCCAAGGAATAATCTCTCCTAGCAACATGCTGCAAGTATGTGAGATGAAGCTTCATTCTGTGTGTTATAGAACTCAATAAACTCCAGTAAAGACCTGCTTCCATACTTGAGTGTCTCCTCTCTCTGCTGCTCTCTCATTCTTACACATAGAAAATAAGTTCCTCTCCTAAGAAGTCTGCAAAATTTGGAAGGGATGCAGGTGTACGCCTGTGTACATATGTAAGAAAGAGAGAACACAATGAGTTAAAAATGGGGGGGCGGGGAAGGAAGAGTTTCTCTGCTGAGACAAAAACTACACATACCCAGCTTAAACAAGAAATTATACCAGAGCCTCCTTGCTTTAGTTATCAACTCTATACGAGTTCTGGCATCCCTTTGATTATCTTTTATAGCAATGAGAATACTTTGAATTGCAAATGAAAAGTGAGGTGTTGAGCAACATGCCTGGCCTCTCCCTTCTGGGTGCCAGGAGCAATCCCTCTCCAAGTTGTCTCCCAAAAAATGACTCCAGACTTTGAAGAATGTCCCCAGGAGTTGACAAATCACCTTCCAGTTGAGGACCACTGGTTTAGACATGCAACTGAGGAGGACCTGAAGCACCTGCTGCAGAGTGTCAAGGACTGCAGCCTGCAATATGGATTGAGGCTCAATGTCAAGAAGACAAAGATTCTCACCACTGGACCAATCGGCCGCATCAGGATGGATGGTGAAGAGATTGAGATTGTACACAGCTTTAGTTTGCTTGGCTCCATAGTCAACAGTCTTGGCACCAGCAGCCAGGAAATTAAAAGGCGCATTGCCATGGGAAAGTCTGCTGTTAGGGACCTCTCCAAAGTGCTGAAGAGCAGTGGTGTCTCTCTGGAGACTAAGGTGCGTCTGATACAGGCCATAGTCTTCGCAATCACCTGTTATGCATCAGAGAGTTGGACAATGACCAAGGGGGATAGAAGGAGAATTGATGTCTTTGAGCTGTGGTGCTGGAGAAGAGTATTAAGAAAACCATGGACTGCTGGGAAAACAAACAGATTTGTCCTGGAAAGGGTTAAACCGGGTGGCTCCTTGGAGGCAAGGATTCTGAGGCTCCATCTAACGTACTTTGGACATGTTGTGAGGAGAGACCGGTCCTTAGAGAGGGACATCATGCTTGGTTGGGTGGAGGAACAGCGCAGGAGAGGAAGGCCCTCTATGAGGTGGATTGATTCAGTGACTGGGATAATTGGGATGGGAGTGTGAGAGACAGTGCGATTGGCACAGGACAGAGCGGAGTTTAGGGCTGTTGTACATAGGGTCGCTATGAGTCGCAGGCGACTCGACGGCACATAACAACAACAACATACAGAAAAGGCAGTTGATGTCACACTGGGCTTCTTTCACAGTCCCCCAAGATAAGAGAAGATCTAGCATCGTTGGAGTTTTGAAATTGTGATGCAGAAAAGATATTACCTCTTATCATAGATATGAACAGATAAGAACTACAGAGTCACAAGGTCTGCATGAACAAAATCAAGCCACAGAGGAATTTAATCTAGATAATTTAATGTAGATAAGCTCTTGCCAGTTGCGCTGGTACACAAGACAAAGCAAGGACAGACTAAGAGGAGGCTAAGGTTGAAAATAAACTTTTCTGAAAATGCAATGAATCCCTTTGACCAAATGAATTGTGTCTAGGAATTTGTCTTAAAGAAATAATCAGAGATCCACAAAAAGATTCAGGTATAAAGATTATAGTCTCAGTATGTTTAATATTAGAAAATGCTTACATCTCAACCATGAAACAAAGTTTAAATAGTAAATGCACATGACTGAATATGTTTAATTTCTTAAAAATGTGTTTCCAAGGGGAGCTCTGGTGGCCTAGTGGCAAGAATCTGTAACTACAATCCCAGAGGTGCACGATTCGAATCCACCAGATGCTCTGCTGGGGAAGGAGGGGCAATCTCCTCCTGTACTAGTCAGATCTGATTTGATGGTACACGCACACAAAAATAATAAAATAAAAATAAAAAATATTTTTAAAAAATGTGTTTCCAGAAACTTGTGATGATATAGGAAATTTCAGTGTGATATGTTTTTAAGCAATATAGAAACTACCTTACAGTAAAATCCAGTTTTATACTTATGTACTTCAAGAAAGACTGGAAAGTAATTACATCAAAATCATCATGATAAGTTAATGAAAACTTTGAGTCAAAGACAAAATCCTACCATATTGGAAAGGATTATAAGATATTTTCTTAAAACCTCAGAAAGTGCCTTAGAAGTTTTCAGACAGACATCCACCAGATGCTCTGCTGGAGAAGGAGGAACAATCTCCTCCTGTACCAGTCAGATCTGATCTGACAGTACACACACACACACACACACACACACACAAATAATAAAATTTTTAAAAAAAATTTTTTAAAGGCGAGCTCTGGTGGCCTAGTGGCAAAGAAGGTGTACTGCAATCCCAGAGGTGCTCGGTTCAAATCCACCAGATGCTCTGCTGGAGAAGGAGGAACAATCTCCTCCTGTACCGGTCAGATCTGATCTGACAGTACACACACACACACACACACACACACACACACACACACAAATAATAAAATTTTTAAAAGGCGAGCTCTGGTGGCCTAGTGGCAAAGAAGGTGTACTGCAATCCCAGAGGTGTTCGGTTCAAATCCACCAGATGCTCTGCTGGAGAAGGAGGAACAATCTCCTCCTGTACCGGTCAGATCTGATCTGACAGCACACACACACACACACATACACACACACAAGAAAATTTAAAAAATATAAAGACGTTTTCAGACTGACAAAAGCCCATGCAGGTACTTTACTGGTGTTTCAAATACCCTCTTTTTTAAACATTAAAGCTTCTATTACTCTTTCTTTTAATTAAATTTAGTTTATGTTTGTATGCATACAAAATTCATATACATATGCATTGTATTTCACCCTTTCCTTCATTCACATTGTGTTTTATACAATCATTCTTATACATTGTGTTTTATAAAATGAATCACCTTTGAACTAAGTCCACCATTACCCCATCTTTTCTTCACATTACCACTGGATCTTTCTCATTTCCTCCCCCCTTCCCTCTGCCTATCAAACTGTATGACTCCATAATGTCCCCCCTCCTCATCCTCATCCCTCTGTTCTCTCCCCAAGGTTTCTGTAAATCTTAAGACTTTTATCTTAAATATTTGTAGTTGTAGCTTTTATGTTGTAAGGTGTAGCTCAATAAGAGTCATGTTGTTATAAGCCATCAAGTGGATTACAACTCATAGTGGCCCTCTGCACAATAGCTCTAAACCCTACCCTGTCCTGAGCCAAACTCATTGTCTCCAACACACCAACCCCTATTACACCAGTTACCATGTTAATTCATCTCATCCAGAGTCTTCCTCTCTTGTACTGTCCCTCCACCCTCCAAGCATGATGTCTTTCTCTAAGGACTGGTCTCTCCTGGCAAGAGGGACTGGTAAGGTCATAGAAAACTCAAAATCTATAAGAGATGATGTTTTATGGTGAACTCCTCACAAGCTTAGACGAGACGGATCAAAGACAAGACAAACAACTGTTTGCTGTCAGAAATCAGGTTAAGAAAGCTACTCAGTTGCACCGTCGATTTTCTTATGGAAAAGGAAGAACCCAGAATAGAACCACGTAGGGAGCTCACCACAAATTCTTAAAGGAATGAATTGGACAGAAGAGGCCCTGAAACAGCAAAACTTGTAGAGTATAAACATTTTACCTGGGATAATCCCTTCCATTTTCCAGATGTGTTATCACAGGGAAAGAAATTCTCTCAGACTTGATCGAAGAACCAGAGCAGGCAAGCCTAGACAGATACACTGAGACTGCCAGTGCTTGATTTACCCTCCTAGGAGGTACAATACGCTACCTAGGTCTGATCTGGCCAAGTGCAAAGATCAGATCGGAAATGGAGAGAAGACCTCTTCATCAAGATGGAGAAGGTTCAAAACAACTATGAGATATCATCTAACTCCAGTAAGAATTCAACAAAGCCGCAAACAACAAATGCTGACGAGGTTATGGAGAAACTGGAATCCTTATTCACTGTTGGTGGGAGTGTAAAATGGTGCAACCACCATGGAAGGCAGTATGGAGCTTTCTCAAAAAGTTGGAAATAGAAATACCATTTGACCAAGCAATTCCACTACTGAGAATATACCCTAAAGAAACCCAAACTACCACCCAAGCATATATGCACACCCATATGTATTGCTGCCTTATTCACAATAGCAAAGAGTTGGAAACAACCCAAGTGCTCATCAACAACAAATAAATAGAGAAGCTGTGGTATAGTCACACAATGGAATATTATGCAGCACTGAAAAAGAAAGAACTCATGAAATATTATACAAAATGGGTGACCATGAAGGACATTATGCAAAGTGAGATATCTCAGTCACAAAAAGACAAATACTGCACAATGCCACTGTTATAAAAGAGGACTGATATGGTGTTGGTGGGAAACTAAGAAAATAAGAGACAAATACTGTACACAGCATTGAAACAGATGAGGTAGAGAACTGTATAAAAGGTATATATGCTTAGATATTATTGGTATAACAAGAGTTCAGAATAAGAGCTGCACAGTAAAATGATCTGAGGGGAACTGTCTAACAATGAAAGAACTTTTTTTACAA